ATACAAAAAATTAGCTGGGCATGTTAGCGTGTGCCTGTAGTCCCAGCTTCTCGGGGGCTAAGATAGGAGAATCATTTGAACCCGAGAGGCGGAGGTTGCAGTGAGCCGAGATCGCACAACTGCACTCCAGCCTGGGTAACAAGAGCAAAAGTCTATCTCAAAAAAATAATAATAATACTGGGAACTCCAAACCTGCCTCTCAACAGTGAAGCAAGAATTACATGAACTAATAGTTTTGAAAGAATGTTCATATCTGTAAAGGACTCAGTTCATAAGGGAGAAAGGAACACTCACTGATCCCTGCTAAGGGCCAGGCCCCTCACTTATTGAGCCTTGTGTAATCTTCCCTTCACTCTTCCCAGTAATTGTGCGATCCCCACTGTGCAGATGAGGAAACCGAGGCTCAGAGATGACCAGTCACATGGCTGGCAGCAGAGAGAGCTAGGATTCGAAGCCAAAAAACCCCACAGTACCAGAGATCCGTGAGGTCTGTCTGTTCTGTGCCTGTGTACCTAGTTGTACTTCTTTGTTCTAGCTGCAGAACCCAAGAAGGGAGCAGAGATTTGATAATATATATTAATCTTTTTTATCTTAATAACACAAGATACTTTATGATTTTCATAAATCATAAGGTCTTTAACGAAGACAACGTAGGGGACTTCTCTGTTACACAAGAAAAGTTGTACTACCTTGAAGCTGAAACTTTTTAATGAGATCCTGATTTTCTTCCATCATTAAGAAAGTATTGAAATTAGTCATTTATATTCATGTATCACATGGTATGTTACATGGAATTTCCAAATGTCTCTTCCTGGTTAAACCTTTTGAGAACTCTACAATTATTTATTATTACTCCCATTTCACAGGTGTAGAAGCTGAGGTTCTACGATAGGGCATGCAGCTGGCTCAAGGCAGGCTGGAGGTCGCACTTCAGACTCCTGCAGCCCATGCTCCTCCATCCTCCCAGCAGCTCCCTAAAAAAGCCTGCTGTGGTCCTAAAAGTAACATGCCCAGCAGGCGCCCGTGCATGAGAGTGGAGGGCAGGACAGCTGGAAGGTTTTCCAAGGACAGATTACCTAAGATCACTTGTGCAGCATCTGTCGGTTTCCAGTTGAAGAAACTGAAGCTCAGAGGTTAAGTAACTCCTACGGTCTGTAAGATATCAAGTGTAGGAGTTAGGACTAGAGTGCAGACAGCCTGACTGCAGGACCTATACCTCAGCCACCAGAGAAAGCGCCTCTCACATATTGGTTTCAATGTTGTAGTTTGTGTTCGCAAAGTGTTTGTGACTCTTCCTCTTCCCCTGGTCTTATAATACCACACTGCTGCCAGTGCTCTAAATACAGCTCAGTCTTATCACTGGTTTGCTTGAAATTATTTACTGTGTCCCCATTGGCCCTCTGGTTAAATTCCAAGCATCAAAGATGTATTTATTTTACAAATAGAAAAATATAACATGTGCAATTTTTCTTAAACTCCAAACTGTAACATGCAAGATCTGGCCTGTGTCTAATTTACACTGTCCTCACACTGCCCCCGCACCAAACTATCCCCTAGCCAGCACATGCTGCTTCCTCTGCTTGGAATTGTTCTACCTTCCCTTCACTGCAAGATTTAGCACTGCGTCTGCGGGTAAACAACCTTCCCAGCCTAATTTAGCTTCACCTTCCATGAGGCCCTGCAGAAACCTGTCATAATCTGCCACAACATTTATCACACTGCATTGCAAACTGACTTATCATTTCCCCACAAGTCAGTGAGCGTCCTACGAATACATCTTTCATCTTTGTGCCCCCAGTGCCTATCTCAGTACCTGGCACAGACTCTCAACAAATGTTCATTAGTTGAATGAACAGAGGAAGAGCACACGACTTGGCCAGAATAACAGAACTGGGTTTTGAATTTGCAGTCCCTCCATTTGTTTTGCTCACTCACCAAGTATTACTACCTGTGTTTCTATCACTCTGTTTTAATCATGCATTTGTAACTCAGACTAAAAGTGACATAACATTTTATTTAGGTTTAGTTTCTTTAATTCAAATTTTGAATCTGAAATATACTCGGAAGATTTTTTTTCAAATTTAAGTACAAAACAGTGTGCCTTCCAGCTGCTCAGTTCCCTTCCCTTGAAAAACCGGGGTTGCTAGTTTCCTGTGTCCCCTTCCTGGAATGTATAATGCATATATATATAAGCAAATACAGATAGATACATACACAGATAGATATTATATGCAAATTTTAGCATATTATACACATTGTTCAGAGTCTTTTTGTTTGCTTGCTTGTATTTTTAGATAGAGTCTCACTCTGCCATCCAGGCTGGAGTACAGTGATGCGATCTCGGCTCACTGCACCCTCCGCCTCCTGGGTTCAAGTGATTCTCCTGCCTCAGCCTCCCAAGTAGCTGGCACTACAGGCATGCGCCACCACATCTGGCTAATTTTTGTATTTTTGGTAGAGACAGGATTTCACCATGTTAGCCAGGCTGGTCTCGAACTCCTGACCTCAGGTGATCCACCCACCTGGGCCTCCTAAAGTGCTGGGATTATAGGTGTGAGCCACTGCACTTGGCCCAGAGTCTTTTTTTTTTACTTACTACATCTTGCAGTTCTATGTTAATTCATAAAGAGATGCTTGTGTTTTTTAATGGTTGTATAATATTCCATTGTATAAGCTAATAATAATTCATTTAACTAGTCCCCAATTGATGGGACATTTAGGCTGTTTCCAATCTGTTGCAGTGAATGAATGACTTTAGATAGAAGTTATTTCACATGTGTATTCTTTTTTTTTTTTTCAAGATGAAGTCTTGCTCTGTCTCCTAGACTGGAGTGTAGTAGTGCGATCTCAGCTAACTGCAACTTCCACCTCCTGGGTTCAAGCAATTCTCCTGCCTCAGCCTCCTGAGTAGCTGGGATTACAGGCACCCGCCACCACGCCTGGCTAATTTTTGTATTTTTAGTAAAGACAGGGTTTGATCATGTTGGCCAGGCTGGTCTCAAGCTCCTGACCTCGTGATCTGCCCGCCCCGGCCTCCCAAAGTGCTGGGATTACAGGCATGAGCCACTGCGCCTGGCCACATGTGTATTCTTATATCTAAAAAATGAAAGTTCTTTTGACACTTTTCTAAGCAACATACAATTGAATTGACAGAGTTTCAAATTAAGACTATTTCTTTTTCTAACAAAGACTCACCTGAAAATATTTTTCCAAATTCCTGAGTTTCTCTGTCTCCTTCTCCCACTCTGTGAAATGAGAAGATATTCCTTGCCCCTGAAGGCTCACGACTGTGTGTTGTTGACTCTGAAGGTTGATCCTTCTTGGCATTAAAATTCTTCCAAAAGAAGAAGCTTGACTCTCCCTTTCAATACAGTTTCTTGTTAGATTAAAAGGCTTTATAACCAGGGATTTTTTTTTAAGTTTCTCTTTTCTAGTCTTCTAACTTAGCCTCTTACTCCTTTCCATTTTCCAGGGATGAGTGTTTTTTTTTTTGTTTTTTTTTGTTTTTTTTTTTTGTTTTTTTACTGTACCAGGCCAAATTGACTTTGTCTCCAAAATAAGAAACCCAAAAGTAAGAAAATTATTTACTTGTGTTAGCTTTTTTATGTCAGTATATATCATCAGCTACAAACACTAAGCTAACAAGTGAGAAACAAACACACAAGGTAAAAAGCCACTAAGTGAGGGAACTCAGAGGGGAATTAAAGAGAGTGCCAAAGTAGCAGATAATTAGTTGTCTCTTCTCATAGCAGGATGTGACTTTGATAACAAAGTGGAAAGGTGACTGTCACTACAGAATGAGGGTAAACCCGGAGAGACTTCCAGGACCCTTCCTGCCAGATTCCAGCTCTAGCACCAAGATGAAGCTGTGGGTCGAGCAGGGATCCAGGTGACAAAGGCCCAGATCTGGCCTCATCAGACACACGGGGCTTACTTGGGTCACCAACTCTACCTGCCACGTTACTTTGGCACTAAGGAGCTGCTCTTCCAACACTCTAGAGAACAACATGATTATCAGTCCTGGCTGCATATCAGACTCACCCTAGAAGCCTTAAAATGCCCCAGCTCCAGCAAGTCTGACTGTTATTATTTGGAGTTAGGTCCTGGGAATCATATTTTCTAAAACTTCTCAAATAATTCTAATGTGTAGCCAGGGTTGGTAACCACAGTTATGGAGATTTCTGGGAGGAGGGATTGGAAGCAGCTTGTATGACTCAAGGAAAGAAGGAAGAAGGGATCAAATGTGATAAGAAACCAAATCTGTGGTAATCCTGAGGATGCCACAAAAGGCCTGTCTGACCCTTTGGCTCCCCTGCTTTCAATCCTGAATGTTTCCATTTGTTCTCAACATAAAGACCAAAGTCCTCAACCTGCCTTCAAGGCCATGGGGGTCTGACTCCTCACAACCCTGTGCAGTTCTCTCAGTCTCTGCTCTAGTCACACCAGTCCTCCCTCAAGTCCTGGAGGTGCCCTGCTTCCTTCTGCTAGTTGGCCTCTGTCATGACATTCTTCTCCCCTTCCCCCAGTAAACTCCTACATACATTAGGCATTCAGCACTGCACAGATGAATGGGATAAGACCCCATGAAAATAAGCACACCCAGGAAGGTAACAGTGCTCAATGCTGCTGGTGCCAAGCCTGCCAGACCCTGGCTTTTTTTTTTTTTTTAAAGAGACAGGGTCCAGGGTCTTGCTATGTTGCCCAGGCTGGACTCAAACTCCTGGGAACTCCTGCTTTAAGTGAATCTCCCATCTCGGCCTCCCAAGTAGCTGAGGCTACAGGTGCATATTATTATGCCCAGCCGTGCCTGGCTCTTTAAGCCTGTTTAACGCTAGTAGCAGCCTTCCTGGAGACTTAAGTAGAAACAAGTTGATGAAGAAGGAGAAGAAACCGCTAAGAAAACCGGATTCCCTTTTACCAAAGGTCGTGGACCACAGAAGTGTTTAAAGTGTTGCATTTATTGTGTCTAATGTACTCTTTGGTGTGTGTTAACCCAATAGGAAAGCGGAAATGCACTGGACTCTCAGGAAGAAGCAGGGAGACTCCTCAGAGAAACTCATCACGACGGCCAAGGTAGAGACCACTGGTTGGGGCTTTATAATCTTATAACCATAATTGTCAGATGAACTTCGCACTGTTAAAAGATGTCAATGGGAGGCCAGGTACAGTGGCTCATGCCTGTAATCCCAGCACTTTGTGAGGCCAAGGCGGGTGGATCACCTGAGGTCAGGAGTTTGAGGCCAACTTGACCAAAATGGTGAAACCCTATCTCTACTAAAAATACAAAATTAGCTGAGTGCAATGGCGCATGCCTGTAATCCCAGCTACTTAGGAGGCTGAGACAGGAGAATCACTTGAATCTGGGTGGCGGAGGTTTCAGTGAGCTGAGGTCACGCCATTGCACTCCAGCCTGAGCAACAAGAGCGAAACTCCATTTCAAAAAAAAAAAAAAAATGCGTAAAGTCACAGATTTTGGATTTCACCCTTAACTTGATCTTTTTCTGTTTATATCTTGTACCATGTCCTTCAGTTGGCATCCAATCAAAAGTAATTTATTTTTATACTAAATTGACAAGAGTTTGTTGTTTTGAGGATATCAGACAACAGTATATTATGGTAGCCTGATCCTGGGTTTGGCTAAGCTTCTAAGCAGGTTTCTGTTCACATGAGCTCTTACCACCTCCATTTTCAAGGCAGAGTGACACTAGCCAGGGAAACATGCTCCAGTCTTCAGATCTGCCATATCATAAATCACACATGCAGAATGTGAACACTGACAGGGCTCCAAGGGCTTGGCTAAGTGCAATGGAGGTTTTAGGCAGCACAGAACATGGCCAAACCTAAGCAATGACCAAGTCAGTCAAAACAGATTTCCTGTCTCATGACAGAAGAGCAGGCACCAGCTGGGTTGCATAAAGGTTATTCAGACCATCTTTAATGCAATGAAATATCACCACAGAAAATTAAAGAAGGCATTTTCCTGTCCTGAATGATAAACGCTAATGTTCAGAAAGGATTTCAAGTATTTGAAGAAAAAAGAGGAAGGAGTGCCAAGGAATTTTTTTTAACTATTTAAGGATCAATTTTCAGCCAGACACAGTGGCTCATGCCTGTAATCCCAACACTTTGGGAGGCCACGGCAGGAGGATCACTTGAGGTCAGGAGTCTGAGACCAGCCTAGGCAACACAGCAAGATCCTGTCTCTACAAAAAATTTTTAAAATTTCTGGGCATGGTGGTACATGCCTGTAGTCGCATCACTCCAGAGGCTGAGGCGGGAGGATCATTGGAGCCCAGGAGTTTGAGGCTGCTGTGAGCTATGCTATGATCATGCCACTGCACTCCAGCCTGGGCAAAAGAACCAGACCCTGTCTCCAAAAAAAAAAAAAAAAAGAGGATCAATTTTCTTCCCATAGGTCTTAAGGCTAATTACCAGAATTTTTTTCCTACTCTAAATTAAGTCGTGATCTTCATGGTTAATTATAAGCAGTGAACCAGCTGCCACCTGTGGTGAGAATATCATGAGTCTTAGACTTGGTGAGAACACTTCATCCAAGTTTCCACAAGAGAGGTCAAATCAGCAACCTCCAAATCAAAGTGGCTTTGAAAAATTGCTCTGGCTTTAAATACAAAACTTTCCACTTTGGGAAGCCGAGGAGGGCGGATCACAAGGTCAGGAGATTGAGACCATCCTGGCTAACACGGTGAAACCCCGTCTCTACTAAAAAATACAAAAAGCCGGGCGCAGTGGCGGGCGCCTGTAGTCCCAGCTACTCGGGAGGCTGAGGCAGGAGAATGGCGTGAACCCAGGAGGCGGAGCTTGCAGTGAGCCGAGATTGCGCCACTGCGCTCCAGCCTGGGTGACAGAGCGAGACTCTGTCTCAAAAAAAAAAAAAAACAACACTTTCCACCCCTCTACCCCTGTCGAAAATCCAGGGAAATAGTAAAATTTTAATTCTTATTTCAATTCTTGTTTATTTCCTAGGCCAGTGGTTCTCAAACTTCAGTGTGCATCAGAATCACCTGTAAGGCTTGTTAAACTAAAGATTTCTAGGCCCCGCCCTCAGAGTTTCTGATTCACTAGATCTGGGTTGAGGCCTGACGATTTGGGTTTTTAGTAAGTTCTCAGGTGATTCTGATGCTGGTGGACCAGCAACCACAGTTTTGAATCACTGCCCTGGGCCTTGTTTCCAGTATGTATTTCTCTGAATTTGGCAGCAACTCAATTTAACCTGTTCTTTTAAAAACAGTAGGAGGAAATACTGGACACAGTCGCTCATGGTTCCAACCCCAGCACTTTGGGAGGCAGGAAGATCACTTAGGTTAGGAGTTATTGGAGACCAACCTGGGCAATAGAGCAAGACCCCTCCCCATGCCCTGCGTCTCGGCCTCTAAAAAATTTTTTTTAATTAGCCAGGCATGGTAGTGAGGGCCTGTAGTCCTAGCTACTCAGGAGGCTGGGGCAGGAGGATCGCTAGAGCCCAGGAGTTCAAGGCTGCAGTGAGTTGTGACTGCACTACTGCACTCCAGCCTGGATGACAGAGCAAGACCCTGTCTCTAAGAAAATAAAATAATAATAATAATAATAGGTAGTGGGGAAGGAATTGGTGGGAAGGCACTGTTTCAGCAGCATCATTGCAATCAAGAGCACTGATTATGAAGTCTGATTCCCAGGGTTCAAATTCTAGCTCCGTTACTTACTAGCTGTGTGGCCTTGAGTAAGTTACTGAACTTCTCTGGGCATCTTTTTTCTTCCTTTGTAAAATGGGGATACTAACAGTACTGATCTCATGGGTGGTTGTGACAAAGAAGAGTTAACTATGTAATGTGCTTGGAAAGGAACCCATCATAGGGCCCAGCGCGGTGGCTCACACCTGTAATCCCAGCACTTTGGGAGGCTGAGACAGGTGGATCACGAGGTCAAGAGATCGAGACCATCCTGGCCAACCTGGTGAAACCCCATCTCTACTAAAAATACAAAAATTATCCAGGCGTGGTGGCATGTGCCTGTAGTCCCAGCTACTCAGGAGGCTGAGGCAGGAGAATCACTGGAACCTGGGAGGCGGAGGTTGCAGTGAGCCGAGATTGTACCACTGCACTGCAGCCTGACGACAGAGCAAGACTGTCAAGAAAGAAAGAAAGAGAGAAAGAAAGAGAGAGAGAGAGAGGGAAGGAAGGAAGGAAGGAAGGAAGGAAGGAAGGAAGGAAGGAAGGAAG